TTTTTTGTAATTTTAATTTTTGTAAAACTAATTTAATTACTAACAATTGTAGAATAAAAACCTACATGCAAAATGCGACATATTTTTATATTTTTTATTAATTTAACAAATAAGCAAACACAGACAAATGCAAATAATTATCCAAAAATATCACAAAAATACTCAAAATTGCACACCAAGGAAAAATCATTTTATTTTGCATTTCCTGGGAGTATTTCTCATATAGGGCAAAAATCACGTGCTTACAGTACCCGATCTCGAGGACCTCCACCAAGATAGGCTCCAGGAAGCCAATGACATCACTACACGTCCCGAGATGGTACCCGATCTTGAGGACCTCCACCAAGAAGAAGATATGCTCTAAGGATCCATTGACATCATCATAAGCCTCGAGGTGGTACCCTATCTCGAGGATTTCTGTTATTGTAAGTATAGGCCGTTTACCTGACCCTCCGGCCCTCGAGCTACCTGAGTCATCAGGTCGAGTTATAACTATCCCCTCGATTACTTTAACCCAGGTACCATCTAAACTCGGGTAAGCCCTCATTCGGGATCTATCTGCAATGCCTTAAGGCTATCTACACTACGTTCAAAATAAGTTTCCAGGTCGCCCGGGCGTGAGTGAACCCCCACTTGGGCACTGCCCTCGAAAGCCTAAAGGCTATCTTTATTCTCAGGCATCAGAGCAAATCCCCCCATCGAGGACTACTACGAGGTCTAAAAGGCTAAGTCTCGTTCTGAAAGTCTGAAGCCCTACTCTCATTCAACTCGAAGTCGGGGTTCCCGACAACCCGAGTCTATCAATCCAATCCGAACTTGGTCCAAGGAACGGCAAAGGGTTCTATAGGGAATCGTGTTAATCAATCAATAGCCAAAAGAAATACTTACACCCGGGCTCGATATTCGTATCAATCGGTACAGTCATGCATTTAGAATTTTCACAAACGTAAATAAAGAGGGAATTCAATATAAATCAGAGACAAATCGAAGAAATATCCTTGTATTAATAAATCGTAATTACAAAAGCCCACGAGGGATCCTTACATATGATTACAAAAGCCCATGAGGGGTCCTTAAACAGAAACAGTGAAGCAAAAAAGTACATATATAATAAAAGCCAAAAGTCTAATCTAATCTCGGGGTGCATCCTCGGCGACAGTATCTTCAAGCACCATCTCTTCGAGGACTTCATCTTGATCTTCCAAAATGGCATCTTCAAAATTGACACGAAGTGAAATTTTCAAACCAATTAATGTGCCATCCTCATAAATAACTTTACTTTCCCATTCCAACTAGAACTATTCATAGTTAAAAACCCTCAACATAAATAACATGAATCGTGACATTATTTCTAATCAAAAGAACAGATAGATTTCGGACCAAATCGCTAATTAAAATGAAGTGAAACCCATAGAAAGACACTTTTTATCCTAGATATAGTTAACAAGAGGGCCACTTCAATTCTACAACACCAAAAGTTTGAATTCAAGAACCTTACTGGAGAATAACTAAATAGTGAAACAAATTATATGACTATTTTAACAAAATAGATGTTAACTACTAACAAAGTATTTTGTTCCTCTTGAGCACAAAATCCATTCAAGATCAAAACAATCAATTAAAAGCAATTTAATAGAAGATATCGACCAAACAAGCACAAAACTCCATCCATTCTCAAATGGCACTTTTCAAGCTTAATACATAGCAAACAGAGAAAACCACGAGAAGAGAAAGTCTGAGATGAACCTGTTAGAATAAAACCCCTTGAATATATGAGCAGAATGAAGAAAATAGCTACAAACACGGAGTCCGAAATCCGGCGAGAACAGAGACTGATTCACTCCCGAAACTGCGCTCCTAAACCACGAACGACAACTCCAAAGCTTTGAACACTCACCTCAGCTTCCTTCCATTTCAAACGAAAATCCAGAGGAAGAAACGGAATTCTTTTCCATTTTTTTTTGAATTTTCAGATTTTTGAAGCAAAATTGAGAACCAAAAAAATTTAAAATTTTTATTAGTATCTTTCCCTGGAATTGAGAAGAGAATAAAAGGAAAAGTCAAATGAAACTAAAGACGAATCCTAATCTCTTTCTCCCAAAATTTTTGTCTAGATTTCTTTCCGTTTTTCTTTTTTTTTTTGGTTTTGGTATGAGTTTGTCGGGGCTGAGAGTCGGAGATGGAAGAAGAAGCTGGTTGTTGTGGTGATAAAGGGTTGTGAGTGAGAGAGAGAGGGAGATCAGCGATTTTTTGGTGGTCTGTTGAAGGTGACTGTTGATTTAGGGATTTTGGCTATCTCCTCTCAGAGTGTTTGCGCGTGATTTTTTGTAAGGAAGATCTGCGGCGCTAGGTTTTCTCCTCTGTTTCAAGACCGTGTTCTCACCCTATTCTCCCACGTTCCCACCCCCTTTTACTCTGTTTCCTTTTTATCACTTTTTCTTATGGAATTGTGCTTGGATCATAAATTCACAAAAATGTGGACCCCCTTGGGACAATGGAATGTGCTTTGTTTATTTTTTAATGGAAAAGTGAGAAGAAATTGCCTTGGGTCAAATTTGTGAGGGTACTTCGCCTATTGTAATTAAGAGGGATTGAAAAATGTGAATTGGTTAGAGTAATAAAGGTATTTGAATGGAATAATAATAATAAACCTAAGAAAGTACCAAATAACTATACTTAAAGTTAAAAATTCCTATCGCTACTATCTGCTAGAGCCAAAAATTAATGGAAAACATTTGCTTCTTCTTTTTCCTTTTCCTTTTTTTTCTTCCTATTCTTATGATAAAACAAAATCTCAAATACTAATATCTAAAGTCCTTAAAATGAAAACTTAGTACTTTAAAATAATGTGACTATTTTTCTCATTTTTCAATTTTACCCAAAGTAAGATACACAAAAAATATCTAGAGAAATAATAATTAGCTAAAATAAAGGAGAATATTTTTTGTAGTTTTCATTTTTAAGATAAAATAAAGCTAAACAGTTAAGACTAGTCAAAATAATAATATTAAACCTAAAACAAACATTTGAATACTAAAAATATGTAAAATTTCAGGGAGGGTCAAAAATTACATGTCTACAGGTGGGCTTGTTAGATATCGCTTCAACTCCTCTAAGGCACGTTGGCATTTCGGAGTCCATTCGAAGCTGTTTTTCTTTTTGAGTAAGGAGAAGAAATGATGACTCCTGTCCGATGACCTCGATATGAATCGGCCTAAGGCTCCTATCCGCCTGGTCAGCCATTGCACGAACTTCACATTGTTTACTACCGTGATTTCTTCGATGTCTTTGATTTTGTCGGGGTTGATCTTAATCCCCCTGTTTGACACTATGAAGCCTAAGAATTTGCCGAACCCACTCCGAAGGCACATTTCTCGGGGTTGAGTTTCATGTTGTAGCTTATGAGGATGTCAAATGTCTCTTGCAAATGAGTCAAATGGTCCTCCGCGCAAAGATGTAACTAGCATATCATCAATGTAAACTTTCATGGATTTGCCTATTTGATGTTCGAACATCTTATTATCTAGGTATTGGTGGCTCCCGCATTTTTTAGCCCGAAGGGCATCACATTGTAGCAGTACTTTGTGATGAACGAAGTCTTTTCCCTGTCCTCGGGGCTTATCTGAATTTGATTATGCTCCGAGTAGGCATCGATAAAGGTGAGGATCTCGTGGATGTCCGTGACATTAATCAAGTGGTCGGTGTTGGGCAATGGGAATGAATCCTTGAGGCACGCTCTATTTATGTCTTTATAATCTAGAACATTCTTAACTTATTCCCCTTTTTGGGAACCTCCACCACATTGACCAACCATTCAGGATATTTTACCTCACCAATAGACCCCATTTTGAGGAGTTTTGTTACCTCGTCCTTGATGAACACGTGTTTAACTCGGATTGAGATCTCCTTTTTTGCTTCACCGGTTTGAACCTGGGGTCGACACTTAGTTGGTGGGTGGTTATTTCCGACAGGACCCCTGTCATATCTAGATGGGACCAAGCAAATCAATCGATGTTAATAATAAGAAATCGAATGAGTTTTTTCCTGAGTTCGGGGGTTAATCCTATTCCCAGGTATACCTTACGATTTGTGAGATGCTAGATTAAAACAGCTTGCTCTAGCTCTTCAATTGTTGATTTTGTTGCATCCGATTCTTCGGGGGAAACAAAGGTTCGGGGAGCGAGGAAATCTTCTTCATCGTCTTCGAGGGTCTGTTTTCCCTCCAGCTCCTTCGAGGTGGAGGGTATAGAAGTTGGTGCCTCCCTGTGAACCGTGAACATCTCCTTCGATGCATGTTGTTTCCCATATACTGTTTTTATGCCTTCTTTTGTTGGAAACTTCATCATTTGATGAATAATTGACGGTACTTCCCTCATGTTGTGTATCCATGGCCTTCGAAGCAACGCATTATACCTCATGTCACCTTTGATGACATGAAATTTGGTATTTTGAACTGTACCGTACATGTTGACCGGGAAGGTGATCTCCCCCTTCATTGCTTCGCCGGCCATGTTGAAGGTGTTGAGGACTCGGAAGGTAGGTATGATTTAATCGGAAAGTCCGAGTTGTTCTACCACCTTCAACCTAATTATGTTGGCCGAGCTACCTGGATCCACGTGTACATGCTTAATTTGAATGTTATTTAAGAGGAATGAAATTACCAGCGCATCATTATGTGGATGAGACAAGGTCTCGAGGTCTTCTTTACTGAATGCAAGGATGTCCTCGGGCATGCGGCCCCGAATTTTCCCTTCTGTTGTAGCAGAGATTTTTTCCGCTTGATAACGGGCCCTTGAGGAACGTCGGTCCCCCTAATGATCATATGAACAATGTGCTGAGCTTTTCCTGTTCTGTTCCTCCAGTCTGCCTTTGTTTCCTCCCGGGTGGAGTTTGCCGAGCTTCCCGTTGGTTTTCTTGGTCCATACTCCCATTGATGTGGGAGCTTGTATCGACGTGTTGTGCGTTGCGTGAGACCACATCCACGGGGATTGGCTTTGGTGCATCCTCAAGGTTTCGCAGTGGTACACCGATGCCTGGGACAGCTACACCGTTCTCTCCATGGTCCTCATGACCGTTGTTTTCACGTGCATTTACTGAGTTAGACATTTTGACCTGAAATCAAAATTCTTGGGCAAGAAAGAGTGTGAAGAATAACTTGTGTTTTCAATAAACTAGCATAAAAACAATCACTATTATTTTTAGCTCCACGGTGGGCGCCAAACTATTTACCTTGAAAATGCTAATTACAAATAGATTTGATTTTGTGGTTCTAAAAATACATAATTTATTTTTATGCTAGTTGTTAAGCAATAGATGCTAAGTGTGAGCTAAGAAAGTAAAGTAAGAGTAAGAAGCGGTATGTTATGCAAACCGAATGGCCGAGAATCGGGGTCTCGAGCTGGCCTAAGCTGGGCCTCGAGGTCAAAATAATGAACTTGACTGGGGGCAATCGATGAAGGACTAACAATTTCAGAGGCCTCAATAATGGCTCTTTATGATCAATGATGAATAATAAATGAAGAACAATCAATGAAACACAATAAATGTAAGTAATAAATCAAAGGAAAGACAATGGAGAGCGTTTAAGTTAGAGAGCAGAGAATGTTCTTGTTCTTATATCGAATATCATGTGTGCAAGAAATAGCAAGGATCCCCTTTATATAGGATAGGAAATCCCAACATGGTACATGTATAATTATTATAAAGAAACGTAGCTGGTACAGCTACTTGATGGTCCGGTACAGACTTGTACTATTCTTGTAGTCCTTGTCATCTTTGATCACGTGCCTTAGGAATTTCCCTCTTGTCTGTTGATGTGCCGTGGAATTTCAGCACAATTGATACCAATTACTTACATTTTTACTTGTCTTTTAATGCATTTGTAGTTAATTTTGATCAAGTTTGGTTGTTTTGTAGTGCATGAGCTTGAATACCCGAAAACATGAAAAAGAAGTCAAAAAGTCACAAATAGACGGATATGCTGCAAGTATGTGATCGCATAATTGCCCTACTGATCACAAATAGAGACAGTCTTTTGGGCCAACTGAAGAAGCAAATATGTGGTCCATTATGCGGTCACATAACACCTATGCGAGCCGCATAATGGTCGCATAACTCAAAAAAAAGATAGACCTCAGCATGATATGAGGCGGGATATGCGATCACATAACATGTAGGCGGTCTGCATAACTGTTATGTGATGGAAGCCATATTTGGAACACAGCAAAGATGCGATGGAATGTTCAATATGCGGTCCGCATAACTGGTCTGCGACCAGTATACGATCGCATAAGTCATCTGAAGGGGTATTTTTTTCCGATTTTGACTACGACTTTTGGTCCACAATAAAGAGAATAACTAGGGTTTTGTGGGGTATTCAAGTCTGAAAGAAGGTCCTACTTAGAGAGCATTGAATACTTCATTTATTTGGAGCTTTGTGAAGAAGGAATCTTGCACTTTTGTAATCTTTATGGCTTTATTAAATACTTTGTTATTGTATTTTACTATGAGTAGCTAGTTTTAAATACTAAGGTTATGTACCCTTGATGAGTGTAATGTTAATGGGTGTTTAACATTGAATATATACAATGGTTGGTTGATATTTATTTAATTCTTGTTCTTTATTTATGGTTGGTGGTTGCAAACATTAATCTATTCCATTTTACTCTTTCTTTACTTGGAAAAGTGAGTTAGGGTTTGGTAGCATTGAATATCAAGAACTCAAGACGTTAACTCTTGTTTAATAGAATCGCTTAGGAATAAGTGGGTTTTACTTGGCATAAATTGATTGTTCTTAATTTGCAACTCTTTTATATTTGGAAAAATCACAAAGGGAAAATGCTACTCAACTATTGGAAAGTATTGGGTAGTCATTTAGAAATTATTTGCATATCAAAGGACCTTCCATTCGAAACATATCATATTAATACCGATAGTATTACATTCCATTAATGGGGATGCAACCTTGGTTTCCTTAATCAAATCATTTACATTCTCAAAGTTACAATTAGTTATCTCTTCAATTCACAATCATATCATTCTATTGTTACATTAACGGAATAGAATTACGACCTAAGTCAAGTAGCACACTACTCGAGTAACCTTTTCATGCCTATTCCCTGTGGGGTTCGACCCCAACCTTGTTGGGTTACTATATTTGACACTGACCGCCTTACACTATTTAATTAAAGTGTAATTTGAGTGTATCATCCATGATAACCACCAATTTTTGCTGCCCCAAGATCGAGCATAGGGGATCCTCAGGGTCGAACCTCAAGCTGTCCCTCGAGCCTTCTAGAGACAGGCCATAGAGTGTCTTAATGATCATAAAAATCTAACTCTTTGATTTTTAGCCGTATGCAAACCTAGAGAACCCTAGATGAAGGTCTAGTCGAATCAGACAAGAAACAAGCAA